TGTTGGATTTCTTAATGAACACACAAGGGTAAATGACATTGTTGGTATACCATTCTTTGATCAAATACTCACTGAGACGATTATACCACATTAGTCCATATTGTTTCAGCCCATACAATGATCGCCTTAATTTGATTGAGAGCATACCTCGTGGTTTGTTAATTGTTTCAGGCAACTTAAGTCATTATAGGACTTTCATATATATGTTAGTATCTAATTCTCCATATAGATACGCGGTGATGACATCCATAAGTTGCATGTCAAGTTTTTATGAAACCACTAAACTTATTAAGTAATGAAATGTAATTGCGTCCATTACATGATAGTATGTCTCCTCATAATCAATTTCAGGTCTTTGCGAAAAACTTTGTGCAATGAGTCGTGCTTTATATCTTGCAATCTCGTTTTTCTCATTGCGTTTCCTTGTAAATACCCATTTGTAACCCACGGGGTTTACACCAGACGGGGTTTGGACTATTGGTCCAAAAACATTTCGCCTTTCCAAGGAATTTAATTTTGCCTAGATTGTATATTCCCACTTAGACCAATCTTGTCTCTGTTTGCATTCATCAACAGAGCGGAGCTTAAGATCATCACTTAATATGATTTGAGTGGCTACTGCGAATGTGAATATATCATCGATAATTATTTCATTTCGATCCCACAATTCATTAGTACAAGCATAATTTACAGAGATTTCTTTGCTTTCAAATAACCTCTGTTTCTTCAGCTACATGTGTCTCATCAATGACATTTTATTTTTCTAAAGGTATAAAATCATGAATTGTGGATTTGTCATTCATTTTTTCTTCTTGAATGATTTAATTTGGATTCAGTTGTGCCTTCGTCTTTCTCTTTCGAGGGGCTGAAATTTTTGAACCTGGGGGTCTACCACGCTTCAGGCGTGCACCAGATGAATCATTCGCTACCACTTTATTTTGTCTAACAGGGACATCAATCCTTGCAGGTGCATTTGCAGCTGGTATATGTAATTTTGTCACTTTCATAACATCATTAAATGCTCTAGCATTTGATTGGCAATGCTTTGAAGATGAATGATCTTTTTCAATTCATTTTCACATTGAGTGCTACGTGGATCAAAATGAGATAATATGGGAACAACCCATGTCACCTCTTTCCATTTTTCTAGAACGGTTTTGCTCCCCCTAACGATGGGAAGATTGTCTCATCAAAGTGACAATCAGCAAAACGAGCTGTAAACATATCACCTATCAAGGGTTCCAAATATCTGATGATAGATGGTAAATCAAAACCCAAATAAATTCCTAGTCCACGCTGAGGTCCCATTTAAGTGCGTTACAGCGGTGCAATAGACACATAAACAGTACAATAAAAAACTCGTAAATGTGAAATGTTTGGTTGATGCCCAAATACGAGTTGTCCTGAAGAGTATTGGTGGTTGGCTATAAGTCTCAATCGTACCAATGATGCAACATGTAAGATGACATGTCCCCATGCAGAAACTGGCAATTTTGTTTTTATGAGTAGAGTGCGAGCTATTAACTGAAGCCGCTTGATCAATGCTTCTGCTAGACAATTTTAAGTATCGACATGAGGAACATGGTGTTCAACATCAATACCCAATGTCATGCAGTAATCATCAAACGTTTGAGATGTAAATTCACCAACGTTATCAAGTCGGATTGACTTAATGAGGTAATTTGAGAACTGTGCTCGTAACTTAATTATCTGAGCAAAAAGTCTCGCAAAAGCTACATTTCGAGTAGACAAAAGATAAACATGTGACCATCTGGTAGATGCATCAACCAAAACCATAAAATATCGAAATGGCCTACAAGATGGTTGAATAAGTCCACAAATATCCCCTTGAATTCTTTGCAAAAATGATGGGGATTCAGCATCAACCTTTAGTTGTGATGGTCTAATTACCAACTTCCCTTAAGAACAAGCTTTGCAAGGGTTATAATTTGTGATAGCAATATGTTTGCTCAATAATGGATGTCCATTAGAGTTGGTAATGATTATACGCATCATGGTGGATCCTGGATGAACCAGATGGTCATGCCAAAGCATGTAAACTTTTGAATCAATGAACTTCTGGTTCATGACAGTATGTGATTCAACTATCTTTATGTATGTATAATACAATCCACTCGACAAACCACACAACTTCTCCAATATACGTTTCTGGGTATCATCGGAGGTAATGCATAGATACTCCACATTTTCTGCACTTTTCGTTTCAATGTGGTATCCATTTAAACGTATGTCTTTGAAACTCAACAAATGTCGAGTAGATCGAGTAACATACAACGCATTTTGTATAGCAATATTGTTCCATTTGGTAACATAATCTGGGCTTTCCCTGAGCCTTCAATTACATATGATTAGCCTGATATTGTTGTTACCCTTACTCTTGTAAGCATCAAGCTTAAGAAATACTTTCGATCACGAAGTATTGTATGTATGGTTGCGCTGTCTACAAGATAAATATCTCTGCCTTTTCTCATGTTCTGAGAATAACCATAGTTTTTATCCATGTTTTCTTAGTAAAAGGGGATCACGATTAAAAACAACTTATAACATGAAATTTGAATGCCACTTTTATTGAATCGAAATGTTAGTTTTAAACTACAAGTTCAGAATAATAAAAGTACATCAAAAATAAATGATTCAGTCAGACTGGTATACTTCATTCCCTATTTCCACAATAAATTCTGAAACATCTAGGTGAGTTGTGTTCAACTGCCCTGATAAGTCGCACACTGGATCAGGTATATCCATTGGTTTAGCCTAGTCGAGAAAATTGGTCTCGACAACCTTCTCCTTGATGGAGGCTTGATATAGATCCACGAGATGTTTTAGGGTACGATAAGTACGCGCCCAATGCCCATGACCACCACACATATGGCAGGCTCCTTCAGAATTTCTAAGAGCATTGTTCATGTGAGCTTTGCCTTTGTGGAGATTCACATTTTTGAAGCCCAGGCCTGAATTATGCCTCGGAACCTGATTATGAAACTGGACACCATGATTCTTACCTTTCCCGTTTCACCGTCCTCGCCTGTGGCCACGTTCTCATTTATGATTATTTGCAACAGATGATGTGGCGTTCATTTTGAGGGAAGCAACATTCACTTTTAAGAATGATGCAGATCCAATAGGTCGGGACTGATGATTTTTCATCAGGAGCTCATTGTTTTGTTCAGCTACCAAAAACACAGATATCAGCTGGTTGTATTCAGTGAAGCCTTGCACTCTATACTACTGCTGTAGGGGTACGTTAGAGACATGAAATGTGCTGAAAATCTTTTCCAACATATCTTCCTCAGTAATGGTATCCCAATAGAGCTTCATCTGAGAGGTAATTCTGAACAACGCAGAATTGTACTCAGCCACTGACTTGAAATCCTAGATCCTTATGTGAGTCAACTCATAACGAGCCTTTGTAAGAATCACCGTTGTCTGGTGATTGTATCTGTTTCTCAATGTCTTATAGAGAGCTAACGAATCTTCAATCGTTAAGTACTCACTCTTTAGTCATTCATTAAGATGACGACGAATAAAGATCATGGCCTTCGCCCGATCGTGAGAGGATGAGCTATTTTCTTCCTTAATGGTATTGCTTCCAGATGGATCTTGGTATCTAGTACCCAGGTAAGGTAATTATTCCCTGTAATGTCCAGGGCAGCAAAATCAAGTTTTGCCAAGTTTGCAATTTTCTTTTCTAAAAGAAAAATGAGATGCGTAAGAACTTGCAATAATATGTATTATAGAGGTATGTAGTGTTAAAACTTTTGGTTCTTACAAGTTTTTCATTTTAATCTTCAGACCAAAATGATAAGCACTCGAAACTTGAATCTAGAGATTTTCAAGATGAATGAGGAGGGCGATTGTACCGCACCATTCTCATTGAAATAATATAACATAGGATGGGCGATTATTCCGCACCACTCCAATAGCAGGAAAATTTAAATACGTATAGCAAGGTGGGCGATTATACCGCACCACCTAAAATTACAATGAAATTAAATAGCAGACAAATTTAAATATGCAGAGTAGGGTAGGCGATTATACCGCTCCACCTAAAATTTACAGTAAAATTAGATATGCAGTCCAAGATAGGCGATGATACCGCACCATCTTGAATTGCAGTAAGATTAAATTTGTAGTTCAAGATGGACAATTGTACCGCACCATCTTGGATTGCAGTAAAATCAACATAAATAAATATTGGGTTAGTAATCAAGATCTACACCAAACAAGAAATCAAAGATGTATGTAACTGTTAGGTTGAGAACTAAAAGCAGGCATGAAGCAAATAGTTCGTCGCGAGGGCATATCGCGCAGTTGAGGTAAAGGAAGAAGATGAATAGTAAAATCCTTAGAGGAAACATTTTTTCTTTCTTTCTTTCGTTCGGCGAAGAGAAATGAGAAATTGTTAGGTTTTAGAGACTTGTGCTGATAATGTTATAATTATGTAAAAGTTAGAGAGAACCTTTACTAGTGATAGGAGCGAAGTAGGTGTAAAATATCATATTGAAACTATAGCACAAGAGAATGACAAATAAAAGAAGGAGGAATAGATACTGAAGTTATTAATCTTCCCCTTTCTTTTCAGTATATCTCTGTTATTTAACAGCAGTCAGAGCGCTCTATTTATAGAACGGCTCCATACAAACAGGTTCTTACAGCTTGAAATTTACAACTCATAACTTTGAAAATACAATCATTTTGTTTCCAAAGTCTACATCACATTTGTGGGCATTGAAAAATCTATCACAACACTCTGGGCATACACTAACCCACCAGCATTTTCAACATTGCAGTTATTTTAAGGGAACTTTAACAAAAAGCATCCGGTACTGTTCATTTTAACGAAAAACCATATTTTTACACAAAAATGTCAATCATGATACTATTCACTTTACACTTTATTTTATCTTTATAATTAAAACTTAAAATTTTCAAGCCAGTTTCATTAGTTTTCTTTATTTTAAAGCACTTACAAACGAATACCGACAACGCCACCTTCTACTGTGGGAGGAAGGGCTTTGAGGAAATCAATGGCTACACCAGGCAGAGCCCTAATCAACCCATCTCTCACATCTACAGATTTCAATGTGGCAGTCCGCATAAACTCCCTTCTGAAAATTCTAAACCCACAAAAACCCGACCGCTCTAATCTGGGTTTAGCGGCTCTCAACCGTTTCTCGCCTCTCCTGAAGCCAAGCCTTGTAATCCACGTAATCAAATCTCAGGCCAACCCTCACCGTGCCCTCTTCTTCTTCAACTGGGCTTCAAACCCTAACCCTAATCCCAACAACTATTCCCACACTCACCATTGCTACGTGGCCATCACCGACCTCCTCCTCTCCCATTCTCTCTTCTCCACCGCTGCCTCACTCCTTCAAGAATCCAATAGACTCAATGATTTCTTGGTCAGCAGGTTTATCGCAGTTCATGGCGGACGAGGGGATATCGGAGCCGCCATGGATTGGTTTCACAAGGCGAAGTTGATCGAGAATGGGAAATGCTTGTTTTCGTACAATGCGATTTTGGGTGCTCTGGTTAGGGCTGACAGGATGAGTGTAGCTAAGGAAATATATGATCAGATTGTGAAGGAAGGTATGGTGAAGCCCGATGTCTCGACTTGTAGCGTAATGATTAATGGGTTTTGCAAAATGGGTGAAATGGAGAATGCCCAGAAGGTGTTTGATGAAATGATTTGTGAGCCAGATGTGATTACTTACAGTACCATGATTCGTGGGTTTTGTAAGATGGGTGATTTTGTTAGCGCAAGGAAGGTTTGTGGTCAGATGAGGGAGAAAAAGGATTGTTTGCCCAATACAGTAACATATTCAATTTTGATTGACGGGTATTGCAAGAAAGGCGAGTTGGATGAGGCGATCAAGTGTATGAATGAAATGGAGGAGCAGGGATGTGAGCCCAATCAAGTTACTTACAGTGCTCTGATTCATGGATTTTGTAAAAAGGGTGATCTTGATAGTGCAAGGAAAGTGTTTGATAAAATGATTTGTGAGCCAGATGTGATTACTTACAATACCATGATTCTTGGATTTTGTAAAAAGGGTGATCTTGATAGTGCAAGGAAGGTGTTTGATAAAATGATTTGTGAGCCAGATGTGATTACTTACAATAACATGATTCTTGGATTTTGTAAAAAGGGTGATCTTGATAGTGCAAGGAAAGTGTTTTGTCAGATGAGGGAGAAAAAGGATTGTTTGCCCAATACAGTAACTTATTCAATTTTGATTGATGGGTATTGTAAGAAAGGCGAGTTGGAGGAGGCGATCAAGTGTATGAATGAAATGGAGAAGCAGGGTTGTGAGCCTAATATGTTTACTTGCAGTTCTTTAATTCATGGTTTCTGTAAGACAGGTGATTTGGATAGGGCGAGGCGAGTTTTGAGTCGGATGAGGGAGAGCAAGGATTGTTTGCCCAATACGGTAACTTATACAACTTTGATTGACGGGTATTGTAAGAAAGGCGAGTTGGAGGAGGCGATGAAGTGCATGAGTGAAATGGAGAAGCAGGGATGTGAGCCCAATCAAGTTACTTACAGTGCTCTGATTCATGGATTTTGTAAAATGGGTGAAATGGAGAATGCTCAGAAACTGTTTGATGAAATGACCGGCGACCCTGATCTGATTACTTACAATACTATGATTCATGGGTTTTGTAAGACGGGTGATTTTGATAGCGCGAGGCGAGTTTTGAGTCAGATGAGGAAAGAAGGGCGAGTTGGATGAGGCGATCAAGTGTGTGAATGAAATAGAGAAGCAGGGTTGTGACCCTGATCTGTTTACTTGCAATGCTCTGGTTCATGGTGGAAGTTGAAAAGCTTGTTCGAGTCATGCTTTTGAATGGTCGCGAGCTTGATACCCCCTCCACGGTTGCATAATAAAGAGGTACTGCAAGGATGACAACGTGAATATGGCAATGCAGACTTTCTGTGGAACAATTACATTTTCAGTTTGGAGAGCTTCTCGGTTTTGGTCAAGGAAAAAGCGATGGCAGTTGAGGGTAAGAGGATATTTGATGATAAGCGTAAGAGATGCACCGTGCCTGATGCTGATAGTTGCCGAAGGGTGCTAGTGGAACATTTGTCTGTGTGTAGGGAAAGAATGGAGGTTACTTGATCGTGAAACAACAGTAATGCAGGTTTTGATGAGTATGATGGGAGTCATGAAGAAGTAAACTCATCGATTTTTCGTGTTTTTATATCGTCCGCCTCATATTTTCCTCCGACGTGAAGCTCAAGTACGCGTTAATTAGGGACGAATCGATTGTCTGACGAATTGCGTAATGAAGCAGAAGCCAAATTTTCTTGATCAAAATCAATGTTGTTCTCCAGTCGGGGAAGGAGACAAATGGGTTTCCCATGGGCTCTCATGTCATAGCTCATACTAATTGTATAAAATAAATTCAAATTGCTAAATATTTATGAAATATTAATCAATTGCTATTTGATTAAAATTGAGAACAACTATCGAAGGTTCAATTTTTTTTTAATTTTAATGGAAAAATAATAAATAAAGATGTAATGAATGATATAAAAAAAAAAAAAAAATTACCAAAAGTGTTTCGTTAAAACTCATTTCAAAATTGAGAGACTCGTCAAGTGTAAAATTTTCACAAGATGATATTGCGTCAATAAATTAGACTGTTACTTTAATTAAGTTGAAACCCTACATGATTTATGTAAATTACAATTTACTCCCTGAAATCTGTCAAAACCAAATTTGCCCAAAAGCCCTGTCGAGTCGTAGTCTATCGGGGACCCACAACAAACTGAAAATTTCGATTTGTTAGGTTATTTATTTATTTATTTAGTGAATATATTTTGGGCCTGTTAGTTCGTCAGCCTCACGGACTCTTCCCCCTTTATCAAATTCGCTTTATTAATCCATTTCGTTCCGATTCAAATCCGTCCCATCTCTCTCTGTCTCCCACACGCCCACTCTCTCTCTCTCCTCTCTCAGACTCAGAGTCAGAGGTCAAAATATTTCCCAACCTTTCCCTCCTCTTTTTTCCCCCTCTCTGCAATTGTGAAGACATGGACGGCGGTGCTCCGTACAACCCGCGCACGGTGGAGGAGGTCTTCAGAGACTTCAAAGGGCGGAGGGCCGGCATGATTAAAGCTCTCACCACCGGTAACCTTTTCGCTCCAATTTTCTTCTTCAACTCTGTGCTCTTGCTTCAAAATCTATGGAAATTCGATGAAATATTAAATTTTCTCAAATTTTTGTGGTTTCAGAGGTCGAAGACTTTTTTCAGCAGTGTGACCCTGGTTAGCGTTTTTTCCTTGATTTTATTTCTGTTTTTTTTAATTGTTTAATTTTAGTGCAGGCGCTGTTTGGTTATTTGACAGAATGGACTTTTTTCCTGAAGGAACTGAATTAGGGTTTTTGTTTAATAATTTCTGGTGTATTTGACACGTGTATGAAAGAGAGGATTTTTTAGTAATTTAAGAAAATAAATCATGTAAATAATCTAATTTTTAACTTAAAGTTGTTTCCTTTTACAGTTTACTTCATGAATTTTGTACTGGTAGTGGCTTTTCACTTTTATTAGCATTCAGTTTTTGGTTTTTTTACTGTTAGTAAATTTACTTGCATTATGCCGACCCTCGTAAAGCGGTGAGCCTTGGGGAGCCTTGTTGGGTGGGGTTGCTCTTTTTTTATTTTTCAATAATGCAGTATCGGTTGAGTGTACAAAAACTGAGAAAGTAAATTCTTTTTTCTTTTGAAAATTATTAGAGCAATGAATTTAATTGTGTTTATACGTCTAATTCAACTTTCAAAAGTTGAATTGAATTGTTGCGGTTTGATCGGGTATTGACAGAAGTTGTTTGAATTCCCACCTCAAAGACAAAAATCAATGTTTCTCAAGGCAGATGAGTTGAAGTGGGGGGTTTTGGGTTCTTTTGTTAAAAAAATTGAAATTTTGATGAAAAATGAGAATGCAACTGTTGAAAGCTTCTGTAGCGGTTAATTCTAAAGCCTGAACGTTACCTTAAACATCTTTAATGACAGAGAAGGAAAATCTTTGCCTTTATGGATTTCCAAGCGAGCAGTGGGAGGTTAATTTGCCTGCGGAGGAGGTTCCCCCAGAGCTTCCGGAGCCAGCGCTTGGTATCAACTTTGCGAGAGATGGGATGCAAGAAAAGGACTGGTTATCCTTGGTTGCTGTCCACAGTGACGCGTGGTTGCTTGCAGTGGCATTTTATTTTGGTGCTAGGTTTGGATTTGATAAGGCTGATAGGTATGCTTCTTTGTACCATATGATAAATGCGTGGTTTGATTCTGTATGATTCAGTGGATTCGAATTGTGGGTTCAGAGTTGACGTATCACTTGTTTTTAGGTCAGGCCAACGGTCCTGCGTATGGGCATTCGAAATGCTTTCTTTATTCCCATGAAGTCAAGTCAGGGCAAAATCACCGTCCTGACGTTATACTTTGCTGTTGTTATCTGTTTTTAAACTTTTATTGTTCCAATATATATGCACACGCCCATGTGTGTGTTTGCTGTGTAATTCTTCTTTTCAGGAAAACTCCAATGGCCTAATCTTAAGTTTTGGGTTGAGCTGTAGTACAGTTGATACTTTGTGGCCTACTTCCTTGACGACTGTCCACAGCTGTTTTGAATGATTGATTCTGTTCTTCTTTTTGGAAGATGTAGGAGCTGATCGTGCCATAGTTGTGTTATTTTCTTCTGACGTCTTTATTAGGAATGTAGTTGAAGGTGTTTGGATTTTGGATTCTTTTTTCGGTTACCTTTTCTGGATTCTTTTACTTCAATTTCTGATGTATAAGGTCACGTGGCCTATTAATAAAGAGCATCGCCAGAAAAGAGGAATTTTGTATTTCCTTTCTGAGATTGTACTTATGTACCATTGCCTTCATGTGGTGGTTTGGGGTGCTGACTACAATCCAAATCTCATTTTCTTGTGACCTCTTCTAGTTTCGTGTTGCAACTCTGTCGTATTAGCGATCTTGAATTCACTTACCAATACGATGTTGGTATCTACATTGCAGGAAACGCCTTTTTAATATGATAAATGAACTTCCAACAATATTCGAGGTTGTGACAGGGACAGCCAAGAAACAAGTGAAGGAGAAGTCATCAAATTCAAATCATGGCAGCAACAGATCTAAGTCAAACTCTAAGGTTTGGAAAAAGATTGATTGCTAGTTTCTGGATTGTTTGATGTTTCTGCTTATATTTTTTATTTTTTAAGTATAGTTGTGCCCATGTTGAAACTTTGGTCTATACATAACATATTTATAATGGAAAAATTAACTCTGAAATTTCTGTAAATATTGTGATGCCGTTCCAACATCAGAGTGGAAGATGAATACATTAGTTTTTGGTCTCTGAACAACGTGGCTACATTGTAACTTATTTCATATTCGGTTGGCAAATGCAGCGAGGTTCTGAGCCTCAACCCAGGCATTCAAAGGCATTGCAATCAAAGGACGCGGAGGAGGACGAGGAAGAAGGTGTGGAAGATGAAGAAGAGGATGAGGATGAGCATGGGGAGACACTGTGTGGGGCCTGTGGAGAGAACTACGCAGCTGATGAGTTTTGGATTTGCTGCGATATCTGCGAGAAGTGGTTCCATGGTAAGTGTGTCAAGATCACACCAGCAAGAGCCGAGCATATTAAGCAGTACAAATGCCCATCTTGCAGCAACAAGAGAGCCAAACATTGATGGTTTTTCTGTGGATACGAATTCTCGTGGTTGACTGCTAATTATCTAGGTCAGGTTTTCTCTCGGTCTCAAGCGTGTAACTTTAGGAAATTTTATCTCGGATCCTTATATGTTGTGTAGGTTGCAAGTCTGCTATTTATTTCAATTGAAGTTAGGATATTTAAACTTGGGTCGGAAACGTTTTCCTCCCTGTGAGTGTGGGACTTGTTATCTGTCTGCGTGAATGTAGTCCAGTGTTTATAAAGTTCGCGTGTCTATTTCTCATTTGGATTTTCATCAGATTGTGTCCTATTTGTCTCTGAACTTCGATTCTGAGAGGCGTAAAGCGTTTTGTCGAGGGGTGTTAAAGAGAGGCGAATCTGTTTTTTCTTCATTGCACTCGTGCTTCGAACTGGAATCAAAGACCTCTTTGGGATATGAAGTGAAAATTTCGAAGTATAATGAAAGCGCTTCTGTTAGAAGCGCTTTGTTGAATCGGGGCTCAGTGTCCAGTCTCTGTATAGGTAATGAATTGGCCCTGCCCAAGCCCAAAATGGTGTTTGATTTCAAAGACAATAATAAAGCGTATGTGCTAAAAAACTTGGTCCTTTTTCGTTTAGGGCCTCCATGTCTTAGGAAATTCACCGATTATAAAAAGTTATGTTGATCTAACGGTTCAGACTTCTGTTCGTGTGTCATATATATTATATTAAACACTGTTACTCTTAACGATGATATGAAGCATGTACACTATCACTTTGGTGTCTCGAGCAAATAGTGCAATATTTGATGTAAAAAACTTACATATTACATTGCATTATCGACCTGTGACCCGAAGAGCCTCAATATCAGTATATTTATGTTATACAAATCCTTTCAATGGACATTTCAGGGTCAGACAGTGTTACATGAATGGACTGTTGAATAAAATTTCAAAGTTCTAAATCATTTGAACCGGTGATCTTGGTGAAAGAAATCCGGAAATAATCTCTTTCCAGTGTCACATTAAGGATAAGACAGTAAACTGTGAGGGAGAGTGTCACATTGGGGATAAGACAGAGCACGTGAGACAGTGAGACAGTAAGCTGTGAGGCAGGGAAAGAAAAGAGAGAGAATATAGTGACAGAGCACGTGAGACCCACTCTTTCCTCTGATGGTCCATAGAAATTTGAGAAAATGTCCAAGATTTGATGGTCCATGGTTATTTGCATTGCACCGGATTCGCACCTGGTTTTGGAGTTCCGGTTCATTTTAAAAACAAAAAGGCTGTTCCATTCCACACCGCACGCATATGCTGTCATGGCCGTTCCACACCGTTACCACCTCCTCTTCTATTGTTTTTGTTTTATTGCAAGTTTGTTGAACTCGTAGTGTGATCTAATGAAGTTGATTATAAAAAACTTCCAATACTGTTCATTTTTAACGAAGAATCATATTTTTACACTAAAAAATTAATAATAATATTATTCATTGTACCATTTATTTTGTCCCTATCGTTAAAATTCAAAGTTTTCAAATTCTTTTCATTAGTTTTTCTTTTAAATTATTCATCACGCGACCTAATAAAACGTTCATTGAGAAGTACACATTTTCATTAAACATGCTTGGCCAACTGGCAGCCAGACATTTAAATCAAAGCATATCTATCCCCTTGTATTCAAATCACTTACATAATGAAGCGTTTGTTGAGCCAAAAATTCACGTAGCATTAAGAAAGCTTTGCGAAATGACAACGTGACAAGTTAAATCGAATTCAAACCACTCATCACGTGACTTGATAAATGGTTGTTGAG